GTTCGTTTCTAAGGCATGATCAAGAACATTTGTCTGTCAGCGCAGAAAAGGACGAGAGTAGTTTCGTTCGTTTCTAAGGCATGATCAAGGACATTTGTCTGTCAGCGCAGAAAAGGACGAGAGTAGTTTCGTTCGTTTCTAAGGCATGATCAAGAACATTTGTCTGTCAGCGCAGAAAAGGACGAGAGTTAGTTTCGTTCGTTTCTAAGGCATGATCACGTTACCTATTGATAAGATCTAAAATGTTTACCAACTAAACCAATTGTACAATTTCAAGCATCAATAACAGCTTAATATCCATTCTAGAACCTAGAAAGTACCAGAAAGAGCTTTTTAGAAGGAAATTTAATGATAACGATTCGTTCTAAATTTATTAACCAAAGCGCTTTTAACGACTGTTTAATATAGTAAAGTTTCGTTTGGTTCTTGTTGTTAGACAGAGTAGTTGCCATGAATAAATTAGCCGTTTAAGGAACATCGATCAATTTTATTCGTCAGACAAGCGAACTACACTGATTATATGAGTTTTCATTTCGTGGATGAGTGGTCTATGGTTAATCTATCAGTGTAAGAAAGGCTTATATCAGTTATTACTATTAGAAGGAGCTTATTAACCAGAGATACTAGTGGTTCTAGGAGCAAGAACAACCTACTATATTGATCACTTCAGCTGAACACAGGCTAAGATGTTTCAATTTTTTTTTCTCTAAAGACAAGTCAAGTGTAATAAATAACGAGAAATGTTTTACCCCTATTTTATTTTTCTCCGCCATCGTGCTACGAATACCGAAATATAACCAGTATCACAAACTGAAATAAGATTTATAGTAATTATGCAAATAATTGAAAAGGAACTGATGAATTGTCGATAATAAAGTAATTTTAAAAGCTGTTATTTTACACATGTTCAAATATATATATACAGTAAGAAAGAGCCAACAATTTATTACTGGCAAGATAACAAAACTGAAATGGAAAACTAAACATCGAAAAATGAATAGAAGAAAAAGTGAAAAGAAATAAAATTACAAAAGTACATTAAAAATAGTTCTAGTTTGTTTGAAGTTAAGCACAAAGCTACACAATGGGCTATCTGTGCTCTGCCCACCACGAGTATCGAAACTCGGTTTCTAGCGTTGTAAGCTCGCAAACATACCACTATGCCACTAGTATGCAAGAGTTACAGATGCCAAATAAATCAGATACATGACTACCAAGTAAGAGAGGGAAAAAATGCGAAGAAAAAGTTTTCAACCACAGATAAAAAAGGAATGAAGTTCAGTTGTTAGCTCAGTTGTCAAATCACACGTGAAAAAAAATGTGCAACGAAAACAGAAATTGATATCTTTGTACAACTCTCAATTTTTCAATGTCGTTTTTCTGACAGTGTAAAATATACTTGTTTGCATTTAAAAGACATGGTTACTACTTCACGAATTTTGTATAAGCATTTAGTTGTGTTTCTATATTGCATCATCAGGAGAAGACATAGTCATTATGCTAGTCGAATTGTTATATTTAAATCGTATAATTAATCATGAAGAAATATAATACAGCAGTATTTCCTTTTTCGTTTTCTAAAATGTATGTTTCAAATTTTCAAGCAAAGCTACACAAGTGCTATCTGTGCATAACCATTCTTAATTTTCAACTGATAACTTATAGGGAAGGCAGCTAGTCAACAGCACACATCGCCAACTCTCGGGCTACTCCCGTTGAAATGAATAGCAGAATTTGAACAACACCCATACAGAGAACGTATTTCTGCAGCAACGGGACACATAATATTTTTTTTCTTCTTATTGTCCCCATGTGCAGATATTAAAAAAGAGACTTCCTTACCTGCACTAACGGTGACTGCTTCAATAAACTGTTCTTTCCAAGAAGAAGTCCCAAGGGCTAAAGAAACATTGGCTTTTTGGAAAAGTTTATCGACCGTGTTCTAATAATTAAAACAAAACAATACATCACCACTTTTTATCAGGCTTGTCGGAGTTAAGAAATAAAAAACTAAACGGTTTTTACGTCAGATTCTTTGAAAATGTCGAAAATAAAAGTCTTAAGTACTCTTATAAGAACAAACTTCATCCTATCCATTAATCTTCAGTATTATATGTAATTTTTGATATAGATAATATTGAAGAGCAGATCTTTTTTAATGCTGAAAGAGTGTTTAAGGCTATTTCTCATACTGAGTATCAAACTCCGAAATACGATCAATTGATATCGAAGTTTTAGCTTTATCAAACCCCCATTAGCCCAAACTAGAAATATATAAAGCATTAGATAATATTTTTTAAATCGACCTAATTGGGCTGATGAGAGCCAGTTTGGCTCAAAGATCAGCTTATAATGGTATAGGATTTGTTATTCAATATAATAATATAATATTCAAATGTTTAAACTTTCAGTTTATATCATCACAAAGTGAGCAAAATAAAAAAGATTGGGAGCAAACTGCATCAAAGTCCTGGTGGAAACACGAACAATTATTAGAATGTTCAATAATAACATGAGTTGTGTTTTTATCCTTATGTAACTATGACACATGTACAATTGAGAGAAATATGAGCAAATTTCGTCCCAGTCTTGGCAATAACAGGAACAATTATTATTATAATATACAATAAAAACATGTGTTATGTTTCTAGAAGTTTTAACCCCCCCCCAAAAAAAACAACCGAAGAAAACAGTATCATTCCAGCATTAATATGTATTTACAATTAGTATCACACTGTTGATTTAGTGTATTCCAAGAAACACGTGACTTGTTTATGACCTTCAAAGTTTTTATTAATTTTTGTTACAGTCAACATAAGCCTAATAAAGTATCTTCTCGTGAATTAATTATGAATGTATTTGCATTCACCTGTTCCTTCAGAGTAAGAACGGGTTTGGTGACCTATACAATAAATCTGGATGCTGTCAATACTCTCCTTCGTCCATCTTGGTAAATAGAATATTTGGAGGAATGAATGTCTTAATATGTATTCCGTACTCAACGTTTTTGCACCATAGCAACTGAAATGTTACCTCTCGTAATTATTTTAGAATACTTATAATATCAACTTTGTACAGCATGATAATGGGATTATTTGTTTCAGTAAGTAAATTCTAAGTAAAGAATGATGTTTGCAGAACATGGTAATCAAACGTGAACTACAGGTGGCAGTCTAGCAACCTACTAACCAAAGAAATCAAGCAGTGTAAAGTGTGTGTTGCATCGTGAGACGTAACACGTTACATGTTTAAATAAATGATAAGAAAAACTTCTAATATATAACTTGAAAGTATATGCTCTGAGAAAAAAATGGTAAACAGTTATTGATGCATATTTCTGAAATAAAATGAAGTTTCTCGCACGTTCCCAAGCTTAATAAGTTTGTATTATGATTAGCACGGAATGATGTGTTTTTCTTAAATTATTAACTACAAAAATTTATTTCTAAACATTCCTTTAAAAAATATGTTTGAAACCACTAAAATGAAGTTCCAACCCAACTGAACATGTAGTATTTACCTTTCATTTCGAGTTTTATACGTACTTTTTTACTTTATTTTGCTCTTCCTTGTTTTATCACTGACCATACGATCCCGATGGTCCACTTACTGAGGTACGGCATTATAGCTGATCGATACCACAGGCTTTCATTCTACTCAATACAAAACTTTCCACCCATTAGGTTACAAACCCTAAATTCATCAAATCATAAAATACGGAACAGCATATTTAATACAAAGAAAAAATTAATTGCTGAACCCAGAAGATATGGTGTATTTTTTAAATAATAATATGTTTCTTACTTTGAATTCTTTGCTTTCCTTAATTCTGATCGTGCATCTGTACTGCTCGCCTATACGTGGTTTTCCCAGCAGAGCAATCTTCTCTGCTGTTGTCAGCTCTGTATTTTGGGAATTATCACTGACGTTCTGGCCCGTTTCTTCTTTAAGAAGATCTGTGAAGATTGTTTAATTAGTTTGCGCTTAGAAAAATAATCTTTGATCTCCATTTTGCTCATATCATTATATTAAGATTCTAGTAAACAAGATGTTTAACAATCATGATTTTTTTTTAGAAAGGCGCAATTGATTTTTAGTAATGGATCTCACGTTTCTACTATAAGCCACATTCAAAGAAACTAACAACATAAGTGATTCATTTGATAAAGCAAACAGTTAAAATTATAATTTCTATGTTAAAATATCACATTCAATATCAATATCACTTGTAGAGTACTTTGCTTTCTAAGCGCCAGAGAATTAGGATTGTTTTTGTATAAAACTTCTAAATAAGCAGACGATTTAGTAATCGTCGTTCCACTGCCTCAGGCACTCAACTTTTAGAGCAATATAATATTGTATAGAACTTCTGTCGTTAGTTAGCATAAATGAACAAACTTCTCGCGCGGACAGTAAGTCTCTGAGACATGGAGAATGATATTGCTCGTTTAGGTTTCATTACTACAGTTCAGAAGATAACAAATGATTTCTTCCAGTAAGCTAAATATCGTATGAATGGAGATGAATTACATAAAGATCATTACGCTTTTCTTGAAAAAGTCACACTACATACCTTATTTTATATATCAATACTGAATGAAAATGTTTTTATATGTCCAGAAAAAATGTACTTGTATAATCATTCTAACACATACAATTAGATGCAATACTTTTCTTCGACATATTGTACTTGTATGATCATTTTAACACATACAATTAGATGCAATACCTTTCTTCGACATATTGTACTTGTATAATCATTCTAACACATACAATTAGATGCAATACCTTTCTTCGACATATTGTACTTGTATGATCATTCTAACACATACAATTAGATGCAATACCTTTCTTCGACATATTGTACTTGTATGATCATTCTAACACATACAATTAGATGCAATACCCTTCTTCGACATATTGACAACAAAATTGTATTCAAGAACGTACGTATATATATATATACTGTGGAAAATGCTGTGTAAAGCTATCTTAGATGTATCAACGAGATAACAACCGCAAAATGTATTACATTACCCATAAACATTATGTATTTGTATATAGTGTTAACTATGAATATAGGAATTATTATGTGATCTGACAAAAAACAAAAACTCTAAATTCTCACTCGCTAAATTAATGGATACAAATCACGACATTTTTTATTTGACAAATTATAACCTTTAATTTTATTAAAGTAGATCATAACTGGGAGCTGTAATTAGACAGCAAAAACCTATTCCTTGGAACATAGATAAAACAAATATTAAATTGAAGCTATATTTGAATTTTAGTGTTCTGTATATTATGCTTTAAAATGAAATAAATGTACCCATATAAACCCACACTCAATTTTCACATCTCTAACTCTATTAACTTAAAGATCCTATAGAACCAACAACACTCATTACCAATAAGTTTCCCAACTATGCAGCAGTTTGAGTTACGTTTCAGTGAGTAGTACCTTTGGACTGAAAACGTTCTTTACTATGATCATATGATACACAAAATTAGGACCAATAAGTTTCCCAACTATGCAGCAGTTTGAGTTACGTTTCAGTGAGTAGTACCTTTGGACTGAAAACGTTCTTTACTATGATCATATGATACACAAAATTAGGACCAATAAGTTTCCCAACTATGCAGCAGTTTGAGTTACGTTTCAGTGAGTAGTGCCTTTGGACTAAAAACGTTCTTTACTATGATCATATGATACACAAAATTAGGATAATTAACAAACAGAATATTATATTTGTTTATACAAAGTCCACTAAAGCAGCATTTCTGGAAGTAAACAAATTAAGGTATGGGATAATGATTCCTGATACTTGAAAAATACATGTCAAATAAAATTACAAAGTAAGTCACAATCTCCCTGAAAATCAGATGTAGTAAACGCTAGTCTTGAAAAAAGTTTTGTATGTTTATTTTAAATTACTTACATAATTGCATTTTAATCTTTAAAAGAAAAATAATGAAAGGGGGTAGGCCAAGTGTGTAAAAGGCAAATCTTACTGTGTAGGTATTTTAGAAACTGTATTCGAGGAGTATATCGTTTGGTAAAAATCACAATATAAAATATAGCACTATCCGCCTATCAATACGGGTAATGCAAAAGTATTGTAAAGAAAATTCAGGTCTGAGTAAGAATTATATTTGAGGAGGAAAAATCAAACATTATTTGTTTTTCGAAAATCTTAGCTGATCAAGAGATTGAATTTAGCTTGCTTCTTAGAAATCTTGTATATTGTTATGTAACCTTCAGGTGATTGTTCCTTTCTAACCCTCTACTTTGTTGATAAACCATTAAATTATTATTTTTTTCTAATCTAGTACTCTGTTACTTAACCTTTCAGTAATTATTCCTTTCTAATCTAGTACTTTGTTGCTTTATCATCAGGTGATTATTCCTTTCTAATCTAGTACTTTGTTACTTAACCTTCAGGAGATTATTCTTTTCTAATCTAGTACTCTGTTACTTAACCTTTCAGTAATTATTCCTTTCTAATCTAGTACTTTGTTGCTTTATCATCAGTTGATTATTCCTTTCTAATCTAGTACTTTGTTGCTTTATCATCAGGTGATTATTCCTTTCTAATCTAGTACTCTGTTACTTAACCTTCAGGAGATTATTTCTTTCTAATCTAGTACTTTGTTACTTGATCATCAAGTAATTATTCCTTTCTAATCTAGTACTTTGTTACTTAACCTTCAGGAGATTATTCCTTTCTAATCTTACCTTGTTACTTAATCATCAGATGATCCTTCCTTAGAAATATTGTTCTTTGTTACTTAACCCTCAGGTGGATTCTTCGTTTCTAATCTTGTACTGTGTTACTTAACCTTCAGTAATTCTTCCTTTCCAAGCTTTTACTTTTATTATTTAACTTTCAGGCGATTTTTCCCTTTTATACGTTAAAACGTTTCAGTCACACGTTTTGTTTCTCAATGACTATACTACCGAACTTCTAACGAATGACTGCTAACAGGTATCTAAAATATGCCAACGATACATACAGTAATAATATCGAAAGATTGCATATTGACTGCACTTTCTTTAATAATCATAACCTTCATAATGGGAAATACATGTACAGGAATAGGAACAGAGTGTAGAATTAGCGTAAAAATTGTCATTATTTTAACCAAAACACCGTGGATGTATTTTACACCTCTAGCGCTTTTAAAGGAACACTGTTGGACAAGACAAGTTAATACATTTAAAACCTGTCTCTTGTACATTGTTATTGTTTTTATCTTCAAAACTGACGATATATTGGGAACTTTTAGGAGAAGAGCAGTCAGACTATTGGTATTTTATGACAATAAGTCACGTTATGCGGAACTCACGTGAAGTTGGCCATTCTTATGGAACAACTTTGTACATGCGTACTTTAGACGAGACAAATTATACGATATTGTTTTTCAAGATCTATCAGTAATTATTGATTTATGCTCCGTATAGTATTCACTTACTAGTAATAAAATGGCCATATCATGTGCATCTTTGGAAGAGACAATTTCATTGCTTTATCGAAATCGGGCTAAAATCTTGGGTTCCAGCATTCCCTTTGTGGAATGTTTACAAACTGGCCGATAATTTATAACGTTATTCTTATAAAACGTCAGAATCATGAACGAGATCTACGTTCTGTTATCCAATTTATCCTGATAGGCCTAGTATTTTTGTTCAACATGATTTTCTATATTAACTGTAAACCAATCCATGAAAATTTGTTTTTAAAAAGGCGCATTTGTACTGCAGCCTTTAATGAGAAAAATTAAACTGAACATTTGTATCTGAGATAATGTACTTAATGTTCTAGTTCTGGGCTAAGCGCAGTTTATATGCTTAGTCTGATTTGACTTCTAGTAACGTGTTCGTAAAAAGATTCTTGAACGATTCTCTTAAGAACTTTCTTATGAGTGCAAATTAAAAATTCAATGAGATAAATAACTTAAAATGTATTTTAATTTTAATATTAAACTATTTTAAAACAAATACATATAACTCGGTTACTTACTTATTTCTCATCAAATAGAAATTACAATTATTATAGTTACCACAACTGCCATCTGGTTTCTTATTTCGTTCTGTATGCATGATACAAATTTTACCTTCTTCGAGTTTTGGATCCCCAAGCTCCAAGTAAAACACCGCATCTTTCTCGTAACTTTCGTTGTCAATGATGTGGATAGGGATATTATTCCTAAAAAGTAAAATGCACACATCCTAAAAAAATTCAAATAAAGCTTTTCTTCTTGATATAGTCTATCATTTTAACTTTAATTAGCTACCAATTATATTCTCCTGTGACAAAGTGGGAAATAATTGGTCTAAAATCCCTGTATAGTCGCCAATAATATTGAAAAACTAACATAAGAAAATAACCCGAACAAGCGCTTTGTTCAGCTTTTTCAATCAAATAATGGCAATGATAGTCACTTTTATAACGCGTTGATAGGTGGAAGAGCGGAATGTGTTCAGCGAAATCAAGTCTCAAACCTCGAACACTTTATTATCAGCCTAACATGCTAAGAACAAGGCCACGCCCAATCCGCCTATAACAGAAGAGTTGAGTCTCAACCACTTCAAAAGATTCACACACTACTACTGGGAAATTGAAAGTAAATACCGTGCTTTAGCTACTCAGTTTTAATAACACTATTTGAGAAATTTTATTCGATGGAAAACAAATACAGAACAAAAACACATTTCTAATTATACACTAACAAAATAAAAAAATATAACTCAGCAGTTCCAAAAATAAAGTCTTACAACTGTTTTCTAAACAAACAGTCAGAGTCTTACGACATTAGCCGTTTAGTTTCTGTTTTTGGCATGAAAAACACAATTAAATACTTTGACAAGATATGGGATTCAATCAGCCCTGAACCGGGCGCGTCATAGTCATTAGAGTGCCCGCAATGTGAATCCGCTAAAAGAGTGAATGTCAAATCCCACTATTCGATCAAGAGTTAGCGGTGGATGCTGTTGACTAGCAGCCTTCCCTCTAGTCTATCAGTTCAAAGTTAGGGACGGATATGCGCAGGTAAAACTTCTAAAACAAAGAAACAGTCGTTCAGCTCTTAAATATTTCACTTGATTATGTGATTTGATCGTTTTTGACGCTCCATTCATCGTTGAAATAATGATTTTTTTTAATCTTCCATATTCGTTAATTTTCGTTCATTACTTTTGTTCCTCTTCCTCCATCAAATGATTAATAATCAAAAATCGATTTAGCTACTTAAAAAAGAATTAATAGTTAGGAATTAATTAATAATCAAAATCTTACAATGTTAACCAACTCTGTTATAGTACGTATGTAAATAAGTAAATTCATGGTAACTTCATGATGTTAGGAAAACACGTTGAGTTGGTTCAAGAAATCAGTTTAATGCAAAAATACAACATCCTATAACCCGAGCCTTTTCGAAAGGTGAACCTTTCTTCTTCACAAGCAAACTGTTTGCTCCTGAAGAAGAAAGATCCATCTTTCGAACGCCCTCGGATTATAAAAATTCATGGTATGATACTGAAAATAGCTGTAGACCAAACTATTAGATTCTGGCTTATTTAGAATGCTCGTTTATATGATATATTGCATATCGTATAATTTATGATTAATAATCTGCTATTAACAGTTTCATTCTCACTGAAATCCTGACGAAGAGCAGCTGCCTGAAATGTTGTTTTGGTGTTTTATCAATAAAATTATTTTAATTTATCGAGTTTTCACCATTAATTTATATTCTATTTTGCATTTTGTTGTTTCCTTGCCTACGCAAATATTTTATTACTAGAACTAATCTAACTTTACAAGGAACCCAACAGCGTGGCGAAACTTCATTCAAATACAGAAAGTCCTGGCATTACGTTAACTAAAATTTGTTAACGTAATAAGCTAGACGCCCTGTAGATTGAAAGATAAATAGTTATGGAGGAGAAAGAGCAAAAAATGAAAGGCTCTTTACTGGATGCATTAGTTAAACTCTGAAGATGAAATAGTGCGATATGGAAACTAGAACAATTGTGTACAACATCACATACATACCTAGGTTATACACACGATCGTAATTGACCAAACAGTAATAACTTACCATGAGTGATTCATAACTAACGCTTGACGTTTAGTTTAATGTCACGTTGTTTTATTAATTTACCGTTGTAATTCAGTCATGTGTTCCCGTCCTTGCGAAAGGTGAGTTGTTTGTGGTTTTATTTCCAAGTACTGTGTTTTGAACTGCAGTTCACTTACTTCTATTAGGACTCTTACTTTACCAAATAATATTTTGTCGAATCAATAATTAAACTTATTGTATGTGTGTTTCACACTATTTCATATTTATTCGGAGGTTAAATTGTATATTCAAACTGGATTAAAGTGACCCCTACATATATATTGCTTTACTGAGTTTATTTGTTTCAAAATTTTCACTCAGAGCGACACAAGGGTTATCTGCGCATAGACATTTTTATTTTTTACCTTATAGACTAGACGAAAGACAGCTAGCCAACAGCACCGACCGCACCTTTTATCTGATCGAATAGGTTGGATTTGGCTGTCAAAGTCCAATCGCGCTTTTTGCATCAATGAAGCGCAAACTAGAAAGAATCCTCGGATTCATGGTCTGAGCAAGCTAACCACTCGGCCACGCCAAGGCGGCGTTACGGAGGTTAAACATATGACGCTTATTGACTTCTTTAAAATTCTACACTTTGCCTCTGTCTGCCTCTCTAAGCTCTAGGAGCCAAACTTCTAGATATCGGTTGCAAGAATCATTGAAAAATATTGTCCACATCGGTTATACCGACTTCAAACCGCCGTGTTATAAGCATAACGTTTCCAGTCATGTATGTCTCAGCTGATTTATTTACGCTACATATAAGAAAGATCAGTAACAATGTCCACTATGATTTGGATATGTTATAATAATAAAATTTTCGAAATCTTCATAATGATTTTCAGCAAGATTGTTTTATTGCATTTTAGGTAAATCAAATATCATATTAGACAATGACATTCAATCAGCTTAATAACGAAATAATGACCAATATGTATTTACATTACAACTTCTATACTTTACCTAAACCACAACACTACTTTTGAGCAGTTCGCAGAGGTAATTTGAATTTTTTATGTGTTTGTTTTTTCAGTTCCTTTTTAATAACGTGAGTTATATTAAATAAATGTTTTTTTAACATATTCAATAAAAGCTTATATACACCGCAGTCAAAATATCAGAACAAAATTAATAAATCAGGTAATCAGAGAAAAACCTCAGATCAACTTATTATAAATATTAGCAACCTTATCCGGCTTCATATTTTTTAAAACTAAAACAGAAACAAAGAAATTGTTGTTGTTTTTATTTTTTGTCAATGATTGAGTTTTTAACGGACTTATGTATATTGTATCTCGAAAATGTTCCCACAGAAAATGTAAGGAATCTTTCATCGTTTGACAAATTTATTTGTAAAATAAATTACTATGTCCAGTATCACACCGTCATGTGAACATCATGGAAAAACTATGCGAACACACAAGAGTTGCATATATAGAAGCCACAAGGAACGGGGTAGGGCGTGGCTGAGTGGTTAGTGTGTTCGAACTGTAAATCCGAGGATTCATGGTTAGCGTCCTGTTGCTTCAAAATCACGCTCCGTACTTTGGAGGCATAGGTGTGTTATAAAAGTGACGGTCAAATTCTACTTTTTAATGAGAGTAGCCCAAAGTTAACGATGGGTGCTGTTGATTAGCCACCTTTCCTAAAGTCTATCAGTTCAAAATTAGGGACATCTAGTGCAAGTAGCCCTTCTGTAGATCATTTCTTAAAATATAAACTTCTCATATTAGATATCGTAAGTTAGCTTATAGAGAGCTATAAGATGGATTTTCTCCTCTTACCAGACAGCTATAATGGAAGTATTGATATACACTTCAAGTTTAACATCTTACCAAGAATCGTGAAAAAATACTTTCGAAACATTAACAATCGATCTGTACTGGTGTAAAGTTGACCATGTACAATGTAAAATGGGGTAGATTTGAACGTCATGGCAACAATAAATAAATCATTACAAAACGAATGAAAACATAAAAACTGAAACTCACTATTTTTAGAACTTTAATGGAATATCTTTTATTGATATCTAGCGCTAGTGGATTTTTGTATTTTACTGGAAACATTTATTTAGTTCTTAATTTTTTATTATATTGTTACCATGGTATTGAAAGTTCCTCTATTACACAGCAAGGTTACTTAAAAATAAAGAGAGTAAATAACTAGTCCAAAAACGACATTCATTGCCCCAGAATGAAAGCGGGTTTATACTAAGTATATATATATATTTCATATAGTTCGCCCCCCCAGTGGCACAGCGGTATGTCTGTGGACTTACAACGCTAGAAACCGGGTTTCGATACCCGTGGTGGGCAGAGCACAGATGGCCCTTGTGTAGCTTTGTGCTTAATTAAAAACAAACAAACAAACAAAAACAAACATATAGTTCGCCTGTCGGAAATTATCTTCTTTTTCTAGGTTTCGTGCAACGGCTTGGCTCTAACTTACAGAATGAAAGCGGGTTTATACTAAGTATATATTTCTTATAGTTCGCCTGTCGGAAATTATCTTCTTTTTCTAGGTTTCGGGCAACGGCTTGGCTCTAACTTACAGAATGAAAGCGGGTTTATACTAAGTATATAAGTATATATATATATTTCATATAGTTCGCCTGTCGGAAATTATCTTCTTTTTCTAGGTTTCGTGCAACGGCTTGGCTCTAACTTACTCGGACAAAATATTTATTTAATGATTATCTACGCACACATTCTGTGAATGTATTATTTTGATGTAAAATTAAGATTTGCGTCAATGAAAACCGATATTTTTCTGTAGTTTTATGACGTATCCAACCAAATATCATATGAAGCACCGTCTAACTTACCACACTTATTCATAACAGGAGTATATCTTTCTAACCTTATCTCCTATCTCCAAGCGGGGTCGTACCCGTTTGGTTTCCAACACCCATAAACTTCGATAGGTTTACGATTTCCCTTAGTTGAATTTCTTGTTTTTAGTCCAAAATATTATAAATAAATAAGGATTCCATGTGAATTTGATTGTTAGATATAAAGAGTCGAAAAGATAATATGAGGAAATTAAAGTAAAACAATATAAGGTCATCTAAGTTGGTCATTAC